CAGCCTACCCCAGCTACCCCACCCTGGACAGGTCAGCAGTCCATCACGGGGTCACACAGAGACAGCCACTCACACACACTCCTGAGGGAAATTCAGTGTTCAGTTAACCTAGCACAAGAAACTGGACTACCCTGAGGGAACCCACACAGACAGGGACACATGCAAACTCCACATATAAAGGCCGAGGGAATGGGGATTCAGATATGAGGCGACATTGCAAACCACTACACCACCCTTTTATAAAATCATAATTTCTATACAAATCCTATCACAACATACCTATGGACACTTTCACTATTAGTTTTGTTTTATGAATAATAAGACTTAAAATGTGTTTTCATCTGTTCCCAAAGCGCCACAGAACATTACATCGTGTGAGCTATGAAAATATGAGCGAACTTCAAAACCTCTCAAAGATGAAAGCAGAAAAGAACGTGGTTTTTTGCTACTTCAAATGCACTCGGATATTCGGCGGATGACGAATATGAGCGGTGCAGGATAATGCCCACTGCACAACTGGGTAACTTCCATTCAGCACCAAATGCTCAAACTCAACAAAAAGCCATCGGAAAAATGACAGTGTAGCATAGGTCATGTGAAATGACTTTCTGACTACTGGTTCAGATGAATGTGGTGGAGTGCATTTTCTAAATGACATTCAATTGCAAAACACACGGGACCGGGGTTCTCCCTGGGTACTCCAGCTTCTTCCACTGTCCTAAAACATGCATGTTGGGTTAAAGTGACAGCCACTGTGTGTGGCCCTGTAATGGGCTGGTGACCTGTCCAGGTGGATTCTTTTGAAACAGCTGGCAGTCGGGTTTTGGCATTTTTTTCTATATTATTTTCTTTTTCATTTCTGTTCTTTCTGTACTTTCTTTCTCACACTGTCCATGCTTTCTACTCTATTGTCCCCCCTTCTGCAAATATTAGCAAAAGACTGTAACTTAGTAGCAGTGAATAGATCAGTTGGGGTTTGGGGGTACAGGTACAGCCCCCTTTAGTAAAGCAAATGTAGCTAGTGCAGCCACAGCACCTCATGATACTGAAGCATGATATTAGAAACTCTTGGAAACTTTTTTTCCTCTCATGCATGGTGTGGCCTTTCACAAAATGCGCCCAGGGGGCTTCCTTACTTCTCCTAAAGCACAAAATGCCCATGCTAGAACCCAAACAAATATTTTTCTCAATTGTGTCCCAAAATTCCTCCCACACCTTTGTGTATTTTAGCAGCTGCCCTTCCAACAGCCACTTTTGCCTCAGGGTAATTGGCAGCTGCTTCAGTTGAGGAATACCTAGCAAGAAAGGTTTCAGCATGATCTACTTACTTCTTTACAAATTAATGCCACAGCAGGCACGGACGAACCTCAGATCCCAACTCTTGGAAATTACATTCAAACTGGAGGTCCTAAACATGGTTAATTGAATTGCTGATGATTCTTTCTTCTTACTGGTTTGAGGCAACCACTCCCATCAGGAAAAAACATGAAGCTTGATTAAAAGTAGATTTTATTGACAGTGTTCACATCTGTTGGGCGCATGGCGGTGTGGTGGTTAGAACCATCGCCTCACAGCCAGAAGGTCCTGGGTTCTAGTCCCAAGGGGGAACCAGGACCTTTCTGTGTGGTGTTTGCATGTTCTCCCTGTGTCTGCGTGGGTTCTCTCTGGGTTCTCCGGCTTCCTCCCACCATCCAAAAACCTGCATGTTAAGTAGATAGAACAATCAAAATAACCCTTAGGAGTTTGAGTGGTTGTTGGTCCTTGTGTGTCTCTGTGTGGTCCTGTGATGGACTGGCGGACCGTCCAGGGTGTACCCCGCCTCTCTCCCATTGACTACTGGGATAGTAGCATTCCCCCCACGCGACCCCATTAGGGAATAAGTGGTTACGGTAATGGATGGATGTTTAGATCTGCATAGCCATTGGGTCGTTTACAACCTCAGTAGGTTAACTGTCACCTAAACGGCCACATCCACCACAACCCACACAGGTCACTTCTTCATTCTCTTCATATCACTTCACATAGCTTTCAACATTTCACCATCAGCCTGTCCTGTTTGAGCCCTCCTCTGACACTCGTTACAAAAGAAAAGTGCCACCGCATGGTGACCTTCACACGTGTACATAGATTACAGGTGTGTAAGTGAAGGGCACGAGGCCCAAACTCTTATTTGGAGAGCAGATAACATGATGTTATCGGGGCAGAGAGATGGCAGAGACTGGAAGATGCAGAGAACGGAGAATAGCTGACACAAGGTGTCCATAGCGCATTTTATCTGTTTTCCGTTCGGTTGTGTTCTTCACGTAAGAACGTTTTTTTGTGGTGCTGCACCAAACTGAGAGTAATTCTTTTCTTTTTATTGAAGAAAGATTTCAAAATAGAAAGCGTTAACTGGTGAGATACAGTAGGCCGCAAGGTTTGAGGTGTGTTTGCGTGTACCTGTGAAGGACAGCGATAACGGTGGGATGTTTGCAGTGCGAAACCGCGATGATGACCTAATGAGAGATGGAGAGATAAGTGAGAGATAGATGGAGGCAAAGACACAGAAATGAGCAGGATGAGAGGATTAACGGAGCAGAGGTGGTGCTCTGGTGCACTGGGACATGATACCTGACAAACTCAGCCTTAGAGTCAGTTTCAGCCACACACTTGCCAGCTGTGATAAAGCATCAAGAGAACTACAGCAGATATACAGCTAAGGAAAGAGTGGTCCATGCCCCAAACCAGCACTGGCACGTTATGAGGGAAGTTGCCATCAGACGATGGTACTAACAATCCAAAAGGCTGATGTTCCCCTTTGGGCCACCAGGAGGTGCCTCAAACACACTGGAAACAGTTTACAGGCATGTTTTCATCTCCAAATAGCAGCAGGGTCCTTGTGGAGTCCGTATCTCAGAGGGAAACGACAAAGAACTCTATGGAGGAACTTTGGACAGTGGAATGTTCACAAGATTTGATCTAATTTATCTATTTTTTTCCACTTCCAGGCAATCTATTAGTGTCTCTTTAAAAAAAAACAAATCCACCAAAAAAAACGTGGTGGTGTTTTTATACCATCCTTAGTTTACCACAAGAGCTCAGGACTTAGCACACAAAGACATAAAGTTCCTTAAGTGGCTCCTGCTTCACTGAGGCTGCATGTCCAAGTGTTAGTGTAGCATTAGAGTCAGGTTAGGGCAGAAATACTAGAGAAAAGTCATTGAGAACAGGAGGTTTACTGCTGTGTGTTCCTTTAATGGCCACAGGATTTATTCAATAAGCCATTTGCTTCCTAATTAATGCTCTAATTAGACTTGCTTCCTCCCGGAGACACCCACACAAATACACACACAAGTGACGTGACAACCATGTGATGGCGAATGTGTTAATCTGTTTTGCAGCCATAGATTTATGCACAAATACAAGAACATTTTGAGCCATAGCCAGTGATTGGAACACACAGCAAACGTCATCTCCAGGCTTATCAAAGATACTGTACAATCAATTTCAAACCTGTTCTAATTCAGTTTTGGTCATAAAATCTTAATGCGGTCAAATCCTGATCTCCAAATTCCAAACTAAACTAATTCAAACAGAGCTAACTAATAGCCCCCCTGCCCCTGTAGAAGTCTGGGCCTATAGAGGGAGGAGAGGTGCATCATGGGAGCCCCCCAGTAGAACTGTTGGATGTGTCAGGGTCATTAAGCATCTGTAACTATCAACTTTATCAGAAAGGAAAGTTCTAGTTGAGGTTCCTCTTGTGTGAAGGGAACCTTCATCCTGTCTGTATCAGTAGTTCTCGGGATATGCAAGGTTGTACAGTACCCGGAAAACTTAGTGTTAACAAAATGCTACATCTCTAGCTATGCAGGTAGTGTACAGGCAACAAGCCAGCCACCGTGTGGATTCTTAATAACTGTACCTCACGGTGTTAAGGCAACATGAAGTCTAACGTTCACTGTCGGTGACTTTCTCTTTTGTGTCCTTTTTCATCCATTCATCCATTTGCTTCACCCACTAGTTTAAAGTAGGCTCACAGGGGTCTGAAATTTACCAGCTCAGATTTTCCCCACCTTTAAATCACATCATATTTGCAACTTTGAGTTGTTTTCAGATTTTACTTGAGCTCATTCAGTGATATCATCACTTAATGTTCTCTTACTCTGTAATGGCCTCCCATCTTAAATCAAGGCGGGTCATTCTGTTGTTGTTACATGTACACTGAATTAAAACGACTGATTCATTAGCCAACTAACCTACTACCATGACTTCAGTCCACCCCGTTAAACAAACATAACAGCCTGATAACATCAAATTGATACAATTTAATAACTGAATTTCATTTCATGTGTTTAGTTTTCTCAAATCCAAAAAAGAATCTGATACTCAGATTTTAAGCCAGCACATTTGTATTCAGTCAGTATGTTTTCACATTTTATTTTTTGAGTTACTTTTACAGAGTGAGGAATGAAATCTTTTGACATTTTGACGGCGTTTAATCTCACATTTGTATATTATGTCATAATTGTTTTGACAGATTTTTGTCAGTTCGTGCCATTCTCCTTGAATACTGTCACAATAATAGGTTAGACTTTTCCCAGGATACGGTATTTGAAAGGGTTTGTTTTAGTCCACATTGGGAGCAAGAAACCTGAGAGTCAAGTGGTCCGAAATCTGTTTCTAGGCTGTTATTTGTTGCCATCTTGTGGATGAAATCATTCTAGACGCTTGTTTTGCTCACCTACGAGGAGGAATTACAAAATGTTATAAATGTTACAAAATAACACGGTTAGTTCGTTTCTTTCTTTTTTTTAAGCCAGTGGGACATTATAACAAGCATAATCAATGGAATTTACATGACTTTACTAAGAGATATATAATAAATATGATCATAATTATAATATGATAGATA